TATGGTGTTCTAATTGACCCTTGTTGGTTGCAGATTCATTGAGCTTCACATCTGCCTTATCAGTTGCACTGGCTGTGATATTTCTTATCATCACCATCGGAATTTCAGTTTACAAGTTGATAGATGGAAGCATTCAGATGCCCAGATTGTTCCCTGAGATTATTGATGTGTCATCATTCTTGAAGCTATTTACTGCTGTCCCGGTGGTCGTTACTGCCTATGTATGCCATTACAACGGTAACGCACGCTGTTCTCTTTTCCTTTTAGGCCTTCATTTCCAAGCTTAGCTTCTTGCATCCTTGTTCTGTTGGGAGGGTTGGAGAGAGTCTTATGCTATAGAGGCAATGTGCTGATATTCTTATTGGTTTGTAAAAAGTGATGTTCATTGAGTTTTACAAAAGATTGTTGGCGGCTAGCTTTTACATTATTTGATGACATCTTTTCATTTTCTAATTGTTCCATTACTCTTCAATAGGGGCCGGGCTTTCTCCAGCTGTTTCAATGGCCCCCACGAAGTTCTTTTGAATTTTGAATTGTTTTCAAGATCCTCGGTTTTTGATTATCTAATTAAATCACTCAATGAGAGTAGATTGTCTTTCCATTCATTTCAAACATGAATATTTCGATTCATTTGGCTCTCATGCTTAATTATTGCAATTATTTGTGAGAAATTCTCATATATGATAGGATCCGAATCAGTGTTAAACTAAGTTTCTGGTACATGTAGCAGTTTGGATGTTTGAGGAATCTTATATTATTGGCTTCTTGTCTGCAGTTCACAACATAAGCAACGAACTGGAGGATCCTTCACAGATAAAGCCAGTTGTACGAACTTCCATTGGTTTGTGCTGTTCTGTTTATGTTATGACTAGCATCTTCGGCTATCTCCTTTTCGGTGAAGGAACTCTGTCGGACGTACTTGCGAATTTTGATGCTGATCTTAACATTCCCTTTGGTTCTGTGTTTAATGATGCTGTCCGTGTTAGCTATGCAGCACACCTGATGCTTGTATTCCCAATCGTGTTTTACCCGTTGAGAGTTAACTTGGATGGCCTCCTCTTTCCATCCGCTCGACCATTGGTTCGAGACAACTTGAGATTTTCGCTGATCACAGTCTCGCTTGTTACTCTCATATTCTTGGCAGCAAATTTCATTCCCAGTATCTGGGATGTCTTCCAATTTACTGGTGCAACTGCGGCTGTGTGCATTGGATTCATATTCCCTGCTTCTGTTGCTTTGAGGTTAGCTAGTTACTTCTCTGGCTTGGACATTGGACTTGGTGTTGGCTTCCAAGTTATGATGTTGTTGGCGTTATTGTTTTCAGGGATTCGCACTGTATAGCGACGAAAAGGGACAAGGTGTTGGGCATCTTCATGATTGTGCTTGCAGTTTTCTCAAACATCATTGCCATATACAGCGATGCGTACGCTTTGTTCAAGAAGGACTCCTCGCCCCGAGACTGATCGATCGAGACGCGTGGGAGAAAGATTGCATCGCAGCATCTTCAGCCAAGGAACCTCAGTCCTTGCGAAGCCAGATTTTCAATCTGTTGATTTGGAAATTGAAGGTTTTGGGTAGGAGTTTGAGTTAAAAATAACGAGATGAATGTGCTGTTGTGTTGGATGTTATTTGGGTTGTTGTGTTAGTGTTTAGTGCATTGGGTACTCTTATCATTTTCATTGATTTGTGTATCGTAGTTCCTTCTCTTCTTATCTGTAATAAACATGGTGGAACTTTTGAAACCCATGCATGTTGCGCACGCACGTTTAAGCGGAGCTATTGTTTTTTGTCTCTGTGCAAAGGAGTGTGCTCCTATGCTTAACTTTTGTGAATCGATTTCTTAGTATTTAAGTTTTGAAATGTTTTTATTATTGCTGTTTTGTTGGAACTAGTGAGTAGTTATGTCTAAAGTTTGATTTTAATGTGAATCTATGTCTGAAGTTTCCTGCATTACGTTAGGCTTCTACACCCTTCCAAGTGTGTCTCGCCCCTAAGTAGTAGGAGACACCCTTAACTTTCTAGTCTTCTGAGTAATTCATATTCCCAAATGTTATCTCGGTTGCCTTGACCCATTCTTATGCCAAGTTGAATCGATTACATTCTTGTCAAAGGTTGGAGGATCATGCTTCTGAAAATTCCTAATAATTTTTTGTTCTCATGTCATGCCGACTTCGTCCCCCTTGGTTGGCCCTAATGACTAGTATTAACATTTTAAGAGTTTCGTGTGAGAACCTACTATATCTGAAGGTGGAGATATTATTTGCTCCTAGGCTTGAACTGGGGGGTGCATGTCCTTGCTCGAACCCTTGAACATGTGGTGCCTGTTCTGGAGTTGGATCTTGGGTAGGGTTAGACTCGGTCGGTTGGTTAAGCAATTACCATTCCATAGCGGATTATAAAGAAAGAAGATGGATTCCCCTCCCGAAGATCAGTCGGCTATCCTGTTTTCGTCCCGGGTTGACAAATGCAAATCAAATCCTTTGGTTACTTGTGAAAGGATAGCAGAATGAATCAAATCAGCTTAGCTTCACTTCCTCTCTTCAGTGTCAGTTGAAAGAACCAATGAGAGCTCACTGTAGAGCTGACGGATTGAAGAAGAACAGAAATACGGTACAGTACCCCTACCACTTCCTCGTCCATTACTTGTGATTCTAGGTGCCATGATATACTCATATAATAAATCAAATTACTCGGTATTCAACCCAAATCATTAGCCTTAATAGGTACATGTGCAACTAACAATGCATGGAAACTTTAAATCATAGGACGAGGTAAGTTCGTTACTTGCTACTTGCTACTTACCCACTTGCTTACCTTATAATAAAATGACAGGGAAGGAAGACGACTCAATCTAAGGGCCCTTCCTACCGCTGCACGCTCCAAACATTGACAGTGGTCTACACTCCATCTAAAAAAAAAATAAAAAATAATATGGGATAAATATAAAATACTCAATAAGCAATCTACTTGTATGCTCTTGTTGGATTTATTCCCATACACGAAAAACTTAGACTATATACTTGGAACTGTCTTAAAGTTTGTACTAACATTTGAAGATATGGGTTTCACATATGTCTATGTACTTCTTCAGTCTTCTAGAAAGTGAACTGAGTCATTGTAGCCAATGGAAGGGCCCTAGGGTAATACTCTGAACCTATAGAGCTCTAAGCGAAGGAATCTCCCTAGTGGTGTCGGACAACATTTACCTTTCCCTAAGATCAGTAAAATACCTTTCACTATGCCTTTCCAAGCTGGAACAATAGCTATCTGCTCGTGTACCCTCCTCGGATTAGAAGAGTAAACTACCTGTCTTGAGATCAGTAACTACATGTTACTTCGCCGTTTCAGGCTAGAACAGTAAACTACTTGTCACTATATCACTCAAGCTGGAATAGTAAAAAGTTCATGGCTCCCCACTAGGCACCACCAATAGTACTCAAATAGCAAACCTTATATGATTCCTGAAATCCCCTACCAGTGACAAGTAAATCATATGTAACAAGTATACCCTAACCCTTATTGGTCAGTTTAAGAATATAGGTTGTGCCCTATTTGTCACTACAAGGTACCTTGTCAACCCAAAGATGCTATAGAACTCATGACTAGGTTCTAGGACCAAAATACGCGAAATAGTAACTCCTAACCTATCTAAAACATAAATAACACTCTATGGCACATAATAATAATCCAATTCATAATTGGGCAATAACGGGTTATCCAAATCTTAAATCATACATAATAAACGTATAAAAACATACAACATGCTTGTTACGCTCATCTAAGTGATAATAAACCAAACTTAGCATACTGGAGAGCATAAGAGAGTTCACCATTCATGGGTGCAAAAGTTATATAACTATAAATAGAATTAAGTTGTAAGCCATTCACATCAAACTAGGTCACTAGGCTTTTAAACATGATATTCAATTACTAGCCTTTGATTTTAATCGACTCCTACAAGTATTTTTCAGAAAGTTGCTCTATATGGTTACTTACTGTAGTGTAGATTTCCTGAGCTTGTTTCCCGTCTTTTAGAATATTCTAAATTTGACTAAAACTTCTTTTCGGCTTAACATCCTATTCTAGCCTAAGTCTAAGAAAATAAATGCGACTACCCTATGCATGTGTCATGGTCTCGTGTTGCGATACCGTCATCAGTCATAGAGGGGATGTCTTGCCTTTACCTGAAATAGAAGTAGCACATGACTTGAGTATTTTAAGGAATACTCAGTAAGTTACCCTACTATTGCGGTTAAATGCAAACACTTTCATGAATGAGACCTATCATAATGGTCTATTTTCTTAAGGCGGCCATCATAACGGGCAATTGGGATGTGTACTTAATTTTTCTACACATGGTATACACGTGAAAGTATGGACCCACTAGTCGATTAGCACATCTCCTGGGCCACTTTTCTGGTTGGGTGAGCATTCTCTGGTAGCTATTGATGTGGACACCATTAGGAATAACGACCGTCACAACATCATTATGATAACATAATAATCGTTCTCCTTCCTCGTAGCGTACGCATTCGTACCATCATGAAGGAAGAGTATCCCCCAATGCATGAGCACACAATAATGCATGAGGTTTCAACATTTTTCCATTTTCATTATCATTTATTACAACTTTGCTAGCGGTTTTCCTTCATACTATATCATTTCTCATATGGTTTAGTATGTCATTTATTATATCTTGCATGCTTATGTCAGGATTGTATTTTATGCTAGTTCATCATTTACATGTCAATCATATCACTCATGTGACACATATATCATATCATAATATTTCTATGTTGTCAGACATAACAATCCACATCATGCGCATACATATCATATCGTAAATCATAACAGTCACATAGCATATCTTGGGCATGCCTTCAACATATCTTATCATAATTATGTCAATTCATCAAACCCATTGTACCATAACATATATCATATAATTCTCATATTATATTACAATATTTATAAATACATACATCGTTCCCATATCTTACCATTTCGTAAATACTTTATAGTCATGTCGTTCCATATACTTATCCTGGTCATATAGTTTCCTAAACTTATCCTAACCATATCGTTTCACTAGTCTATCATAATCATATCCTTTTTTTATACATAACCTAACCATATTGTTTTATCAATCTATCATAACCATATCGTTTTGTATACAAAGCCTTATTGTATCATTTTGTCAATCCACCATAATCATATCATTGCATTACATAACCTAACCATAACGTTTTATGAACATATCTTAGTCTTATCGTTACATTACGTTTATCATATCCTTTTTGTATCCTATCTCAAACATATCATTGAACACATCGAATGATAAGTGTTATCATACAATTCACATATCATATCATAATCATACCGATTCATAAATGATTCACACATATCAAATATATGACACGTGCAAAACTATAGGGCACGTGTCAACATCAAATATAACCATGCCGATAGTAAGGTCACTTACTTGGTTGGCCTTACTATCGTCCTTAGTCAACGTTCCATCCTATTTCAAAGATTGACTTGACTTGTCCCTCAAAATTTGTAACAACCCTCGAAGATAAATCCACTATCAACATATTTCCTGGCTGCCTACCAATCAGCAGATCTCCGAGCACATCGAACTAACTCTAATGAGGAAGGAAAACTATCTAGAACTCCGACAATGGCTCCGATTTTCAGAAAAGGGAAATGAAGTTGGTGTTAGATTATGGAGCCTGCAGCTTATTTATAGCTGAGTCAACAGTTATACATAGTAAAACTATATTTAGTAAATGACATATAAAGTAAATTGTCATAAATAGTAAATAGCTATGTATAGTAAAAAACTATATCGGGTAAAGCTATATATGGTAAATAGTTATATATAGTAGATGGTTATATTTGGTAAAGCTAAATATAGTAAGCTAAACCATATATATATCCCTCGGCGAGCTTTGAAAATGTATTTTTTTTCTGTATTCTCTGTATTCTCTCTTACTGTACATACTTGAAGTCATTAATATAAATCCTTTAGCCAAAGTTCTTCTTGCATTTTCTCTATCCTGTTTTTTGTCTTTATCTAGATCGAGTGTGTGCGATGTTGTGCGATCCTAACAACTAGTATCAGAGCTAGGCGAAATTCACCACGATCTATGAAGATAGAAAGTTCAAAGATTGGAATTGAGAAGTACGATGGATCCGATTTCGATTTCTGAAAAATGCAGATTGAAGATTATCTGTATCAGAAAGGTCTTCACGAACCCTTGTTGGGGGTGATGCTGGATACCATGACCACGGAGCAGTGGAAGCTCAAGGATTGACAAGCCTTAGGGTTGATCCGATCGACGCTATCCAGAAACATGGCGTTCAATATCATCAAGGAGAAGACAACGTCAGGTCTGTTGAAGACGCTGTCGAATACGTACGAAAAACTGTCAGCTATGAACAAGGTGTATTTGATGTGGAGATTGTTCAATCTACAGATGTTTGAAGGTGGATCTGTTGTTGATCATATAAATGAATTCAATATGATCGTAAGTCAACTCTGTTCTGTGGAAATTAATTTCGAGGATGAAATTAAAGCATTGATTTTGATGTCATCTTTACCTGAGTCGTGGGATACTGTTGTTGCCACAATCAGCCGTTCGCGAGGATCTGATAAACTGAAGTTTGATGAAATTCGAGATGTAGTTCTCAGCGAAAGTATTCGCAAACGAGAAATTGAAAATTCATCTAGTAGTGTTCTTAGTGTTGACCAATGGGGAAGAAGTAAACCGAAGGGCCCAAACAAAGGATGATCAAAATCAAAGAACCGAGAAAAATCTCCAAATAGACAAACGTAACGTGTTGGAATTGTAGAAAAAGGTCACTTTCGGACTGGTTGTACAAGATCAAAGAGAAAGCAGAATCACAAATCTGGAGATGATGATGATTATATAAATTCAGCAGAAGACATTGGGGATGCTCTAATCCTCAGCGTGGACAGTTCGATTGAATCTTGGATTTTGGAGTAAGGTGCATCTTTTCATTCGTCTCCAAATAAAGATTTGTTCCGAAATTTCAAGTCTGAAAATTTTGAAAAGGTTTATCTTGCCGATAACAAAGATTTGGAGATTAAAGAAAAAGGAGATGTCTGCATAAAAGCTCCGGTAGGAAATCAGTGGACATTAAAGGATGTCAGATATATTCCTGGTCTAAAAAAGAATCTGATCTCTATTGGTCAGTTGGATAGCACAGGTTATGCAACAAAATTAAGGAAGAGTTTGTGGAAGATTATGAAGGGTGCTACGGTGGTAGCACGTGGCTTAAAATCTGGAACCTTATACACCACTGCAGGGTGTATGAACATAGCTGCTGTTGGTGAGAGTGTTTCACATTCAAGTCTATGGCACAATAGACTTGGACATATGAGCGTGAAAGGAATGAAGACGTTGGCTGCGAAAGGAGTTTTAGAAGGTCTGAAATCTGTTGATGTGGGTCGTTGTGAGAACTACGTAATGGGCAAGCAGAAACGAGTTAGCTTCACAAGAACCGCCAGAGAATTGAAGAAAGTGCGGTTGGAAATGGAACCATATGTAGAGCAAGGTTCGATGTAGCAAGTGGGAGTTGAGCTTGAGTTGCAGGAAAACTCACCTAGTGATGTTTTAGCAGATACTCATGAAACTTCTGAGACTACTGCTGAGGACCCAGATGTGGAGCAAGGTTCCTGACAACGAAGCAAGTAGGAGTTGAGCTTGAGTTGCAGGAAAACTCACTTAGTGATGTTGTAGCAGATACTCATGAAACTCCTGAGACTACTGCTGAGGAACCAGAGGTGGAGCAAGGTTCCAAGACTACGAAGCAAGTGGAAGTTGAGCCTGAGTTACAAGAAAACTCACCTAGTGATGTTGTAGCAGATACTCATGAAAGTCCTAAGACTACTGTAGAGGAATCAGCAGTGGAGCAAGTGACACCTGAACTGGTATTGAGAAGATCATCCAATACTATCAGGGTACCAGATATGTATGTACCTTCATTACACTATCTGTTGCTGATGAAAGGGAACCACAACCCTTTGAGGAGGCCATACAGTTGGAGAATACAACCAAGTGGGAGCAAGCCATGGATGATGGGACGTCTAGGCTTCAAAAATGCGTTGTACTGAGGTTGAGTACGTGGCAATAGCTGAAGCTGAAATGAAGACGATATGGATGATTGACTATCTGGAAGAATTGGGCAAGAAACAATACAAAAAGATTCTTTATAGAGATAGTCAAAGTGTCATATAGTTGGTGAGAAACCCGGTCTATCATTTAAGGATAAAACACTGAAGACAATACCATTTCACTTGTAGGTTAGTGGAAGATGGTGATGTGTTTTGAGAAGATAGAGGGTGCAAAGAATCAAGCCAACATGTTGACAAAATGTGTTGATGTTGAAATATTGAAGTTGTGCAAAACCTCAATTGGTATGGTACAGTGAAGATATTCATGATCGTTTAAGAATGAAATTTTTGGTTGACTGGATCAGTCTCCAAGTGGGAGAATTGTTAGGTTATGGAGCATGCTGCTTATTTTTAGCTAAGTCAACGGTTATACATAATAAAACTATATTTGGTAAATTACATATAAAGTAAATTGTCATAAATAGTAAATAGCTATGTATAGTAAAGAACTATATCGGGTAAATAGTTATATATAGTAGATGGTTATATTTGGTAAAGCTAAATATAGTAAGCTAAACCATATATATATATCCCCTCGACAAAGCTTTGAAAATGTACTTTTTCTGTAATCTCTGTATTCTCTCTTACTGTACATACTTGAAGTCATCAATATAAATCCTTTAGCCAAAGTTCTTCTTGCATTTTCTCTATCCTGTTATTTGTGTTCATCTAAATCGAGTGTGTGCGTTATTGTGCGATTCTAACAGTTGGAACGACGTTTGGAGGAAGATTTATGGGTTAAAATTAAGGAGCTTGAAGGCGAGTGAGAAACATTAATGGAGTCGAAGTGTGAGAGAAATGAATGAGGAAAGACAGATCTAAGCTGTAGTAAAGATTGTGAGAATGTTTGCTTAATCCACCACATCTAAATGGTGTGAAAATTATCTTATTTATAATCAAATAAATTACAAGGATATGGAAAGAGTAATAAAAGGAAATAACAATAAATGGAAAGATACATATGGTAATAAGACAAATATATAGATATTTTCCTTATAATAAAATATCAAATATGATTTATATGGTAAGCTATAATATATTACTAAATATCTTTAACACCCCATCGCAAGTTGAGCGTCAGATTTGAACAAACGTGAAGCTTGGATCTGAAAAATTCAAAGAGAGGTTGAGAAACACTTTTCATGAAGATGTCAATAACCTGGTTCGGAGGAGGCTTAGAGAAACACTTTCTTGGCTATCGAAAATTGTAGAGGGATCGTCGCTTAGCGGTGATGCTATCTTGGCTTCGGCGAGAATATGTCTAACCCATGAAGAGGGATCGTAGCTTATCGATGATGCTGCCTTGGCTCTGGTGAGAATATGTCAACCCAAGAAGTAGAAGGGGAAACCTAGAGCAAGGGACAAAGACAATGTTAAAGCCGGAAGAGTCGCCACAGTGGGCGAAGGGGCCAATTTTGGCTAGAAGGGCGACGACGACTTGGTTGGCGAAGTGACTAGTGCGGCGCCTAAATTCCAAAGGTAAATCTCTACAGAAGGTTAATAGGTTTAGGTTAGGGTTTCTGTGAAGGATGAAGGAAGATTGTGAAGAAAATGAAAGAGACTATGTTGGTTGAGGGAAAATCGATTGTGTTGGAAAAAGTGAGGTTCTATGTACAAAGTATGGCGAAGGGTGATTTAGAGGTCAAAAGGGTGGAGCCAAAGAGTAATCAATCGGCTCCGCATGTGGCAGTCATGGAGACTGCTCCTGCGGCGTCAAAGCCAACACGAGTGGTGGAAAAGAAGATGAGTAGGCGATTCAGAAACCATTGAAAATAAGGTATCGGGGTTGTTAAACCAAAACGGCTCGATAC